AAAGTTCAATGTAAGCAGAGATATCATCTTTTTAAAATCAGGAAGTTTAATGCCTACAAAAACGACTCGATTGGGACAACAGCTGGGTTTTAGACATCACTAACCCATACATTTACATCAACCCCTCCCTCCAGAAACTGCAAAAAAGGGCATGGCAATATTTCTGCGGCTCGTCGAGTGTGTTATGTTCAGCTGTCAGTTTTTCTTTGCCCCGGCTTCCTACGGATGCTATGCTTCGTCAACAATGGATACAATTTATGTTTGATTATGTTCCTGAAAATGACGATTGTAATTTAGTTCTCTGTGCTGCGCATTTTACGGAAGACAGCTTCCAGAATCTCCACGAATTCAACACCGGATTCAACAAGAAACTGTTACTAAAACATGAAGCAGTTCCAACTTTAAAACCAGAGGCAGCAGTTGTTGGGCCACAACATGTAAGTAGGCTAAGACTTAATCATTTTAAATGTATTTGCATGTATAATTTCAGACGTAATGTTTTAGTTTTTCAAATGCCAGCGCTGGCTTTATAGCCACTAGGCTACTAGTTATGCTATTTTGTGTCTACGACAAACACGTACAAACATTATGGACCTGAATTTTGTATAAGTACTAATGTTTTAAATGTATTTTTCGTGTATATATATACACTACTTTATGACGCTATTTTCGATTTGATCAAGAACGTAAACCAATGCCGACTCTGTTTGTGTATATAACGTTAGTAGCCAGTCAGTGTAAAACAAACGTGTATAAGTTAAAAAAAAAATATTGGCAAATTACCATTCAGACACGTTTTTTAAGAGCCGTGTTTAGGGAGGTTCTGCTTGACTCTCTTCATCGCTGCTTTCTGGGTCTGAATCTGGCTCTGAAACTGCAGTCTCGACATCATTATTTACTGTACATTGGACCAGAGCGGCTCTGCATTGGACCGAAGCGCATGCATGATTCGCCCATAAAGGTAATAATGGGAGTGAACCTTCCGGACAACGTGAGCGACAGTTTAGCCATTCACAAGACAACCGGCCCAAACTAACCAATCTGAGCCCACTGCCTGTATCTGAGGGAGTGGTTTCATAGAATCAGGAAGTCAACCAGTCCTTCAGAGAGCAGAGGAGAACTCGGCTTACAATAAAGGTGAAATTTATGAAAAATAAGACTTTTTAAAAAAGAAAAAACACGAATACATGTTATATTGCACCCCATAAACAGAATTATGCAAAGAAAAAAAACAGTAAACCACCCCTTTAATCTTTGCAAATCGTAATTCACAATGAATGTGGCTAAGGTTTACACTCAGAGTACATTACGGCATTTTTTTTAAATTTTTTTATGTACAGCAAAGATCATTATCATTTAAAGGCATATGCACTGAAACGGCGTGCTGAAAACAGGGCTGTTTTTGACCAGGTAAAATTAGTGTGTTCTTACAATACTAATGAGAATTTTTTTTTTTAAGTGTATTACAAACTTTTTATTTAGACCCTAAAGAATGAAACTAACTTGTATGAGAATGGCATTACAGTATATGACCCCTTTAATAACCCCTCGTCCTACAAAATTCGCATTTGTGTTTTGTTTTGTTTTTTTTTGTTCAAAAATGTAAATTTCAAAATTTTTAAAATAATTTTGTATTTTCTATATTTAGAAATTTTATTAATATGTTATATATAACATATTAATACAATTTCTAAATATAGAAAATACAAAATTTCTATAAAATAAAATTGACAAAAAAATTGACAAAAAAAAATTATATGCACAATTAATTTCCTTCATAATTTTTGTGTTGTTTAAAAATATACTTATAAAATATGAAAAATATAATATAAAAAGATAAATGCATCTAAAAGTCAAACTGCAAATTATATAAAAGGCTCATTTTCATATAATGTATCTTTAATATAAAGTTAGTTTGTATATTTTTTAAACATGAGCATTGGAAGACAAAGCTGTCAGTATAACAAGACTATTTTGTTACTTATATTAAAGAGGCATTCTCTGAAAACAAGCCTTGATATCTCACACTGTTTTGCACATCAGGTAAATGTGTCTTGTTTAAAGGACGTTTGCAGGACACAAACAGCAGTTTACAGCCTTGGTAACATAGAGTAACTGTGGTGTTCTCACTTCTTAAAGTGTGTAATTCATGTTTTAACTCTTTCCTGCCATCATATATGTGATTGCCAGCCAGCACCAGCATTTTATCCATTCTTTTTTTTTTTTTTTAAAACACTTGAATGTAGGAATCAATCAATCAAAAAAGTAAAGCAACATTTTGAACAAAAAGCAGAAGAAATTGTGTTTTTGTCAGATTTTGTCTGGATTGGATTCAGAACAATATAGTACATCTAGTAGATTGTCTAATATTAACACCCTTTACGTTTGCATAGTCCTATACGTCTTCTTGGGTTCGACGTTTCAATCATTTGGTGACATTAGGCAAATTTGATTGATGTGCTTTTAAATATTTGATAATCGTGTTAGCTTATATGTGCATAAGAAATGGTTTTGCTTCTTCTTCACTTGTTTTTAGATCCAGAGATTCTATATTATTTCAGAAGATGCGTAATAGCGCCCCCTAGTAAGAACATGGACTTCCACTGTTGTGCCGAATTTCGACTCCCTGGCAAATTATTACCCCCTTAAATGAAGCCGTTACCTGATTGGCTGATTCAAACCCCATCCCCCTAATCCTAATCTCACAGCTAATCCTAATCCTATACTCCACCTTTACTGGAGACTACAACACCGGTACATATTCCGTCAATGTCGGGGAAATGTTGCGTAATAAATGGCGCAAAATTCCATTAATGGCGGGTAAAGAGATAACTGTAAGCATGAAAGCATTGGCGGTCAGACCTGTTAAAGTGTGGTACTTGAGAAATAATTATCAGATATGGTTCACCTTTATATCTGTGAGCACATTAACATCACACCCACCGCTCTTAACACCACTCATTGTGCCACCGAGGGGGCAAACTGATTCTCTGTCTGGCAGACAATTAACATTCTGCCTGTATGTGGAGTCAGATGCTCACACACACGGGCACAGCTGCTCACTGTGGTGTACAGGACACAGCTGTACAGATTTGGATCATGCAAATATAGTTCTGGGCTAAAGTATTTATTCCCATGGTCTCATGATGAATAATGTAGGAAATGTGGTGGTGTTCCAGTTTGATTTGTTTGGAACATAAATGAATGAATTAAAGAGAGAAAACAAATATTTGATATGAAATGAATTGGTTACTTCAAAATTTACTCACCCTAAAGTTGTTTCAAACCTGTATGAATTTCTTTCTTCTGCTGAACACAGAATAATATATTTTGAAGAATGTCAGTAACCAGACAGTTGATGTACCCCATTGACTTCCATAGATGAAACAAACAAAAAAAAAAAAACATGGAAGTCAATGTCTTTCAAATGTTTGGTTATTCTGATATTCTTCAAAATATCTTATTTTGTGTTCAGCTGAAGAAAGAAAATGTTCCTGTTTTTGTTGTAGGAGTTTCCAAAAACAGTTTAACATGCATGCAAGGATAAAAAAAAAACACTTTATTTGTATTATAATATGCATTTATTTTTAACTGATTTGCTCAACGACTCCCAAATGATTCACCCAACGACTCATTTTTCCAAACCACTCCTTTGCGTGACGCTAATCGGCAATGATTGGTCAGATGACAGACCCAGTCAGTTATTGTTTGTTTGCATAATGCATAAACATATTGATAAAGCACTGCAGTACTACAAGACGCTCTATTCTTTATGACAACTCCAATAACAGCGACAAACATTTCCCATATTTAAAAAAAATTGACATTGGAGACCTAGAAGCTGCGCTGAGCGTAACTTACACACACACACACACACTGGTGCACACACATAATTATCGCGCCTTCCCTCCTCGCGCCCGACGCTACAAAACCGTTCAAAACCCATAAAAGCAACAATTATTAATAATACTTACAGGTTGTGATTCATAGGAGGAAGCTGATCCATATACACTGGGTAAGTAAGTTACTGAGCCCTCCTTCAGGAACAACCGCTTGCGAATCCACATTTGAATTAATTTATGTTTTTGATTGATTCGTCATTAAAATGAGGACACAATCGGGCTAATCGGCATGTGGTATCGTTGCAAATATGAACACTAACCACCGATTGTTCACATGCTCGTCCCTGGTAAATGAAAACAATGTGGCTAAACTATCTTTGCATTGTAGAACACAGCGTCTTCTCAAAATGATGCTATGATGAAGTATTTGAATGTGTAGTCTTCAAGTTTACACTTCTGTCTGCGCGTGCAGTAACTGGGCGCTGCCAGTATCTATCTACGCCACTACGAACCAGCTAATGACTCGTTTCAAAAACAATTCATTTCATAGACTCAGTGGCGACTCTCACTTTTGAAAGACAATAACTTTATATACGGTGCACTTTCAGATATAAATCTTTGCAGGATGTTTTCATTCCCTTAGAGCTATATTCCACACCATATGAACAGTCATTATCAAAAATCCATGATAGGGGCTCTTTAAGACAAAACCTGTGAGGAAAAAAATTATAAAAGACGAGTACATTACGAGCAAAAACATGTAGATTCCAATAAAAACTCTTAAGACAGAAAGGTTGCAAAAATGTTTTTGTTGAATTGATGCCATAGAAGAACCATTTGTGGTTCCCTAAAGAGCAATTCAGTGAACTTTTTTGAAGAACATTTTAATAATCTAAAGCACCTTTTTCCACTATAAAGAATCGTTAAACTTTAAATGTTTGGCATGGAATCATAGATGCCCACAAATAACCTTTATTGAAGAATAGAATACTAGGATGCACTTGTAAGCACCCAGAACACCCAGGCAGTCACTTAGTAATGCTCTAGCAACCTGTCAAACACTGTAATGATGAGGTTTGCTGGAGAATCCATTCACGTTGTCTTCAGAAGTAGTGTTGGATATTTCTAATCTGACAAGATTTGTATAATCTTTCACAGAGGCAGGATCCCGTGGCCTGGGGCCCAGAGTTTGCTAATATGTCCCGTGATGTGCTGAATATTCGCTATACCCTCCTGCCATATTTGTACACACTGATGTATGAAGCTCACGTTCACGGAAAAACTGTGGTCAGACCCATGCTGCATGAGTAAGTGTTTACCAGTATTTATGTTTCTGAGTAATTCAACCAAAAAATGACCCTGATACTACTTCAAAACCATGTTGTTTAACAGAATGTTCATGCTATTATTTTTCCATGCAATAAAAGTTAAATTTAACAGTGCCATTTTTGTGTGAATTATCCATTTCTCCTCAGTTCCCCTCCAAATATATCTTATACCCCATATTTTCTTTCTGACACTATTTTTAATCCATCCCTCTCTATTAAGTACATCTCAATCATAGGAATGACTAATCAGAACTCGGGCCAGACCTCAGGTCTTATGTTCCTTCTAATGCATTTCTAAGCCTACTTTGATATCAGTACTTTTTACTTTCCTGTTGTCCTGTGTAACCTTCCTCTTCCACTTCCGTTTTTCAGACTGATCTCATGAAGTAGCGTGTGTATGACACGCCAATTCGTATTTCCATTTTTGGCGTGCTATCAAGACGCATAATCGCCTTTCAGCGTGTTTATGAACGCCGTTGACTTAACGTTATATAAATATATGACTTACCTCAACCCCGTCCCTAAACCTAACCGTCACTGGGGTTAATGGCATTTATGACTGTTCCCTTACCATCCTAGGAAAAAAAAAGATATGACTTACCTCAACCCCATCCCTAAACTGAACCGTCACTGGGGTTAATGGCATTTATGACTGGATATTTGACTGCGTGTACAGACACGCGGAATGACGCAGACGTTAATGGAGTAGACATATAAGCATACACGCGGATACACGCGGATAGCTCAAAATGCATAGAGATAACACGCCACCTGACTCGAAAGTGCCGTATATGTTTACGCAAAAGTCATGATGATGTCATGTTGCGTTTTTAGAAGCCTGAACTAATTGGACTGAATGTTCTATGCTCTATTGTTTCTGCATCTCATGTTTTTCTTTAAACCTCCCTCTCTTTTCCTCACTGTTTCTGCTTTTCCATTGCGATCTGCATGCATTGTGTTGTATAAATGATGTTCTCAGCTCTGTGTTCTGTAATGCAGGTTTGTCAATGATGAAAACACATGGGAAATCGACAGGCAGTTCCTCTGGGGTCCCGCCCTTCTAATCACGCCTGCTTTGGAAAAGGTATGCTCACAAAAACGCCTTCGTTATATTCGGGCTATAAGCAAATCACAAGTCACACACTGTCACATAGCACTATATTTAATCAGTAAAGAGAGATTGACAGTTCTAATTAGTGTTGTTATTTATTATTTTGTTCTCATTGATTTTGTTTTGTGAAGGGCGCCACTGTAGTCAAGGGCTACGTGCCAGATGCCCACTGGTACGATTATCACACGGTAAGCATTCTATCAGCATGTAAGTGAACATTTTATTAGCAAGCATTTAAATCTTTATTTGCAAGATTTAGTTAGCGTGTGAATTAAACAACCTGTCATAATGCAACTGGCTTCCAAACAATTTCAACTTGTGGTTCTTTCTCCTGCATATATCCTGGGTCTCTTCTTGGGATCTGCTTGATTGCGATTTATCATCCAGGGAAAATCTGTTGGAGTGCGAGGACAGTTTGTGGATATGGATACACCATTAGATAAAATTAACCTGCACATTAGAGGTGGCTATATTCTGCCCTGGCAGAAACCAGAGAATAACACACACTACAGGTGAAGAAGCTACCCTTCATATTTATTAAGAGCTGTTTAATGTATAATTGGGCCATGTTCCTATAAGCTTCATGGTATTTTTTTCTTTTCTTTTCTTTTTATTATTTTATTATTATATTATTTATTATTTTTCAGACTGTTGTTTAACAAGATGACCAAGATTCTGAACACTGAATAAGTGTTAATATGTAAATGTGGGTGTTCATGTCGTAACATGAATGTCATTAAGAGCTGTTTAATGTATAATTGGGCCATGTTCCTATAAGCTTCATGGTAATTTTTATTTTATTTTTATTATTTTATTATTATATTATTTATTATTTTTCAGACTGTTGTTTAACAAGATGACCAAGATTCTGAACACTGAATAAGTGTTAATATGTAAATGTGGGTGTTCATGTCGTAACATGAATGTCATTAAGAGCTGTTTAATGTATAATTGGGCCATGTTCCTATAAGCTTCATGGTAATTTTTATTTTATTTTATTTTTATTATTTTATTATTATATTATTTATTATTTTTCAGACTGTTGTTTAACAAGATGACCAAGATTCTGAACACTGAATAAGTGTTAATATGTAAATGTGGGTGTTCATGTCGTAACATGAATGTCATTAAGAGCTGTTTAATGTATAATTGGGCCATGTTCCTATAAGCTTCATGGTAATTTTTATTTTATTTTTATTATTTTATTATTATATTATTTATTATTTTTCAGACTGTTGTTTAACAAGATGACCAAGATTCTGAACACTGAATAAGTGTTAATATGTAAATGTGGGTGTTCATGTCGTAACATGAATGTCATTAAGAGCTGTTTAATGTATAATTGGGCCATGTTCCTATAAGCTTCATGGTAATTTTTATTTTATTTTATTTTAATTATTTTATTATTATATTATTTATTATTTTTCAGACTGTTGTTTAACAAGATGACCAAGATTCTGAACACTGAATAAGTGTTAATATGTAAATGTGGGTGTTCCTGTCGTAACATGAATGTTGTGTTCACAATTTTGTTTTGTGTTTTTTCTTGTAGTCGTAAGAATCCTCTGGGTTTGCTTGTTGCTCTCGATGATGCAGGTTCAGCACAAGGATCCCTGTTCTGGGATGATGGAGAGGGGATTGGTGGGTTATGTTTGGTTGTGTCTGGGGATATTGGGGGAGATGGGAATCATGTGGAATTAAATAGTTTTGATTTAGCTTGATAATTCTAGTTCCATGAATGCTTTTTTCAACCCAGACTCAACATTTCTACAAAATGCTATTATGTTGCTTTTTGCACCGTTTCGCTTCAAAGTGAAAAGTCCAGTGAGTGGCTCTAAAAAGGCATTCAGTTCAGTGGTTGTTGTGACGCATATATCAAATCATGCACAAAGCATTTTGATCATAACATAATAGTGTGATAGGAACTGCTCAAATGTAAGTTTTTATTCAATTATAATCTGTCCTTATAATCATAATTTGAGAGAAAAGGAGTGCAAGTAGGTGTTTTGCTTTCCCCAGGTGTTCATTTCAAAATATAGATATGTTGTTGGGAGATTTGCAAATGTTGGTATAGTAGACAGTGGTGGAGGAAGTACTGAATCTCAGTACTTAAGTAAAAGTACAAATACCCAGATAAATATTTACTTTAGTAAAAGTAGAAGTAACACAATGACAACCATACTTAAGTAAAAAGTAAAAAGTACTTTATTTTAAATGTACTTTAAGTATTAAAAGTAAAAGTATTTGCATAACAATTTATTATCTTAATGTCTATTTTCTAATGATTAATAAAACATTTAATTCTAACTCAATTCAACCTAATAGCCTACTCCTATAATGATGTTCAATAATGATGGAAAAAAATGTCAACATTTCTGAAACAAGCTTGCAATTAGGCAATATCATGCTTATCCTTACTATATGTTAATAACTATGTTTGGCAGTAAACGCGATTAATTTATGGTGTAATTCTGAACCTCTTGGCTTGCCATAATCCTAACCAAACCAAACATATATTACACACGGTGCGTTTCCTATGCACGTAAAAACAAATTTTCGCGTATGAGTTGCATGATAAACACACTGCGTGCGAGACGCATTTAGTGTGACCGGGTTGATATACTGTATCTATGGCAACCAAACGTCACTGGTGAGACAAACGTGCAACGAACGGACGGTCAGATTACGTTTTGGCAGGGGAAAAACTGATCAGAAAATGTAACGAAAATGTAACAGAAGTTGTAGAAATGTAGTGGAGTAGAAAGTATAATAATTGCTGCAAAATGTAACGAAGTAAAAGTAAAAAGTATGCACTATTTATTCTACTTAAGTAAAGTAAAGATACGTGAAAAATGTACTTAAGTAAAGTAACGAAGTATTTGTACTTCGTTACATTCCAACACTGATAGTAGATGCATGTGTTTCTTATTAACCTATGTTAGATTTATAACCTTTTTCACATAGTAAATACTATTACTGGTAAAATTTTATTTTAAAAGGTCTCATCAGCATTACACGGATGTAATGTACTGTATCTTTAAACATAAGTTTGTGTATTTTTTTTTTTTTCTAAAATCATAATCATTTTATCACAGTGTTTTTAAAATGGCCCCTTCTTTTTCCTTACAGATACTGTTCAGAACAAGCGTTACCTCTTGACAAATTTCCAAGTGTCTTCGGTATGTTCATATGTTTTAAAGAACACTATATGTGCAGTTCTTTCAGATTTATTTGGATAGTGGTCATGCACAGTTGCCATTAAAAACCTATAGGGACTTCAAGATTGTCCATCTCACTTGAAGCCAAACATCTGTGGCCACTCTGAATTTGGAAACAAAATCCAGATCCAAAACTATTTCATGCTGTAGCACAGCTCAAGGCCCCTTGGCCCAGGTCAGAGCTCTATGGACTTCCTGTGGGTTTGATGTCTTATGTGGGGAGATTATTTGAACGGTGGAAAAAAAAAAAAAAAAAAAAAAACAAGGCCCTCTGGAGTTGAAAACTGTTTGTAAAAACAAGGTCAAACTCAGCTAGTTCGGCACAGATGTTACATTAATACTGAAACCACACAATTGTCTGTTGTTTTTCATTCTGTTCTAGTCAGATCTTAATGAGTGAATCTCAAGAAACGGGTCATATTTTTGAGTTCTTGCGATTATTTGTGATAATTAAGTACATTTCCCCTACAAATATGCATTAATATAATGTATCCAGATGTTTTACTTTCAGCATTTATCATTTGCAATAGCATTTTTGCTCTTTGTTTAAATATCAACGCATTCTCACCACAAGGCGTCACCTTTGACCATGCTTCAATATTTGACGTTTTAGGCGCCCTTTAGCGTCACTTACATGACGCGATCCTACGGCGTCATCTAACTGACGCTAAAGGAAAGCGTCAGTTAGAGGACGCGGTTAGGTTTAGGTGTGGGGTGGGGGTAGGGTACACGCGATCCTAGGGCGTCATCTAACTGACGCTAAAGGGTGCCGAAAGCGTCAGATATTGAAGCATGTCCAAATGCTTCCCAAGGCGTCAGTTAAGTGACGCCTTGGGGGTGAGAATGGGCTGTAAATATGCATGTGTGTGTATCTTGTGTAACAGCTGTGTGTGTGTTTATATTTATAGGGTGTTCTTAATAACTCGATTACCACTGATGGTTTGGCCGAGGTTGACAGGTTAACCCTGGGTAATGTGAAGGTGTGGGGTGTAACAACGCGCATCATTAAGGTTTCCATGAGTGTTTCTGGGAAGCCTGATGCCAACTTGGCCTTTAATTACCACCCCGAGGTGAGATTCTTCATTCAAATACTTTATCCATTGATATTGTCAGAATCACTGATACAATTAGGAGGACAAGAAGTGCTCATTAAAAATATCCATTTCATTTTTATTCCGTTTTAGTCATTTAAAAATAAATAAAACACTTTACAATAAGGTTCATTAGTTACATTAGTTAGCATGAACTAATAATGACCTGCACTTATACAGCATTTATTAATATTTGGTAATGTTAATTTCAACATTTATGAATACTTTTATTAAAATCTTGTTCACATTAGTGAAAGGACTTTAAACTAACATGAACAAACAATGAACAGCTTTATTTTTATTAACTAACATTAACCATGTTTAACAAATACAGTAACAAATGTATTGCAGTTAGTTAATGTTAGTTAATACATTATCTAATAAACCTTATTGTAAAGTGTTACCATCAAAATTTAAATATATCACAATGTTTAAAATTTTAAACTGTAATTTAAGTATACAAATTATATTTAATAATTATTTAATACATGTAAATATTTTTATTTTGAATTTGCCAAATTATAAAGTGATTGGTTTTCATTTTGAAATTTACTTTCATAATTGGTCAAAATTCACCCCAAAATCAATACAAAAAAATAAAATAAAATAAAGTATATTATATTTAGTATATATATATATATATATATATATATATATATATATATATATATATATTGTTTAAATATTTCAAGATATATTAGTTTCATTACACTTATTTCACCCCAAAATCAATACAAAGAAAAACAAAATGATATTTCATTTTAAAAATATTAAAATTATTTTGTACATTTAAAAAAATATATAAAAATAATGTGTACATTTTTAAAGAAAATTTTTATTTTAATATGCATTAGTGATATAATTTTCATGACAATTTAACTATTTATTTTGTTTATAATATTTTTATAATATTTCAAATTATTTGTAATACATGATGCATTGTGGAAGTGTGTTTGCTGCCTTTATGATGCTGAGAAAAAAATATATATATGTATATTATCACAGTAATGAGAATCACTAAAATAAGAATACTTTAAAAGCATGTATATTGTTTATATTTTTTTAATAATATTTCAAATGATCTATTATACATGATTTTTTATGCATCATGGAAGTATGTGTTTGCCGCCTTTAAATTATGCTAAGAATGATAAAAACATGTTTTATTACAGTCATGAGTATCATTAAAATATCTAAGAATATTTTAAAAGCTAAACATCTGAATGCATTCAGCTTGATTCCTCCTTGTATTTTGTAAGTGTCTCTCCTAGTCCTCTATATCTTCACCCTGTGCAGTGAGCTTGATGAAAAACAGAGTTTACATTCAGACAAAAAAAAGAAAAAAAAGAAAAAGAGATGCCTTTTAAAAGTTGTGTGCGCATCGACTGTTTCTATTAATAAGAATGCAGGCATGAGCTCCAGAGACTGAGATTTATACCAGCCATGAGAAGAATCGAAGGGGGGGAAATGACAAAGAAACTGTGCGCATGTGAATCTGAATAACTAGTGTTCCAGCCCACACCAAATCATTTATCTTTCTTAGTATTTCCCGACTGCATAATAAGTCTGAAAGAGGCGAGGCAGCTCCATCTGTCTCCATGCGTGCGTTTGCCCTCAGCAGCGCATGTCAGATCAGAGGTGGCGTTTTCCAACGATTCTCTCGAAACACCATTTATTTTACTTCATCATGCCATTATGAGGTCATTGACGGAACGAGCCTGCAATCACACACGAGTTTAAGCTCCTAAAGAGAATTTGTGCGGTAACACTTGACCATGTGTGTTCGTTTTAGCTTTTGTTTCATCTAAAAATTTGCATCACAAACTTCTTTGTGCTATTTTTCTGTTCAAACAACCCTCTCTTTCTCTCCTTCAGAATCAGGAGTTGGTGATTGACGCAACACCACAATCTCACACCATCGAAAAGGGTTTCACAATCACCTGGACAACTTAGACATGGACGCAAGTCTAAGGAGACGGGCTTAAGCCAAGACGCGCATGATTATTTCTGTTTATTTATGAGTGTTCAGTCAACTAGTAATTTATTTAACATTTCCCGCTAAGAGCTTTTTGTGGTAGATATTCCAAATCTGAAATGATTTCTTCTAAAATAAATGCTTTGTTCTGGAAGATACATTGATGTCGTTTTGATTTGGATCTCATGTTGAAAAGTTGTTGTTGTTTTTTAGGCTGAACTTGGAAGCTGAATGTCTAATGCCGGCATTTGGGGAAGTGGAAATATAATGATAACCCTTAATTATCAGCAATCACTTCTTTTTAACGAGAAACCTCTCAGCGGCGGCTACCTGCCGGGCCCGCTTCATGCACGACTTCATTTTGATGTAATGATACAATATTCGATTATTCATTCTAGGGTAAACATAATGATATCAATTAAGCAATGTAGACTATAAATTGATTTCTGCTCTAATTGGCAATCATCGCGAGCTAGAAACATGGACGCTGCGGGGAGAGGGGCGTTCAGGGTGTGCCTTCGATATTTAGACACTAGCCTAAAAACAATGATAATTAAGAACTTTTTTTTATCCAAGTGTGAAAAAGGATGGAGCCATTGTGTGACTGAGACTGTAATTATTTGGGTTTTCTATTATGTGAAAGGTGTTTATCCAGCGGTCCTTTATTCTGTTTTTGTTTTTTTTTTTAACAAGGAAAATAGCAACATTTCTTTTGTAGTTGCTGTCCATTAAGATACATATGAAATAATCACACATCTGTAGCATGAAGAAAGATTTGTAATAAAGTGATTTAAAACTCAGGAAGGCTGTGACTTATTTGAATGGCTGATTTTATGATTATGTTTCCTTTAATCTCTGAACCTTTTGTTTCTTTACTGCATGCAGGCAAACTAGACATCAGTCAAAATTCAGGTGCATTAAAACAATCAATCTGATTCAGACAAATCAAATACAGACAAGAGAATGTTGTCTTGATTTTGCCAACCCTCCAAACAAAGCCTGTTTGTTAAAGTACTCATGTAAAAAAAAAAAAGGACAACAAAAAGACAACATGAAAGATGAGCCATACACTCAAGTGACATCAAAGCATCAACATGTGATTCTAAGTGTTTGCTTTATCTACATGCTAGAATTCATTCGAGAAAACATGGACTGGGGACAAAACATTGAAATAAGCAGAATACTCAAACTTATTCTTTCTCAGAGGTTCCTACTGTTGGGCAGTTGGTGTGAGGTTTTCACTTGGAATTAAAGAGAAAAAAAAACTAATATATATATATATATATATATATATACATATTAGTGCTGTCAAACGATTAAAATATTTAATCGCGATTAATCGCATTAATGTCATAGTTAACTCGCGATTAATCGCACATTTTTATCTATTTTAAATGTCTTATGATTTCTTTTTGTTACATTATTTTTTTCTCATTTTAATGCTCGTCAACATGGAAAAGTGGATCGGCTTGTTTAGTGCAAAATGAAAATTTGAAATGTTGCCTTGGCAACTATCTAAAATAAAATATGTACTAAAGACTTTCACTTTTTAAACTTTTTTTTTTTACTTTGACAATAGTCTGCCAAGGGGTCTTCTTTAAAATGAGACACAACTTGAGTCCGTGCTACCAAGCTTCAAATGTTTCGCACAAGGGTTAACAATTAATTTGTTGAAATAATATAAAAAAATAACATTGCATTATATTGTCTCACAGTAAAAAGGCGACATGTCCAAATATGATTTATAAAATAAATAAATAAAATTGTCCCCAAAGTTTCCTAAAAAAACAAAAAAACAAACAAAAAAGAAACTTCTAATGAAGCTTGGTTTTTAGAAAGACATTTAGTCAAATAAAGCTACAAGACAACCAGTTTTCCAATATGCAAATTTGATAGCAATGAAGCTAATACAAATGTTATTTATGTCAGTTTATTTCAACACACACACACAATATTGTATTGTCAGACTTAAAGCAACACTAAATTGCTGACAGGCCCAATAACAGGCCGTCTGAGCAGTTGCTCACGAGTCATTTCACCACGTGACACCCGGTGACACCGCCGCGCGTCCACACAATTTTCCCTTCACTCGCACACCAATTACGGCTGGCCACTGCCAACAGGGGGCAGAGGGGGCCGGCACCTGGTAATTGCAGCTGTTTATGCTTCAGTTCACACCGGTTATGACAGGTGTGTATGTGTGCATGTTTGTTGAGTCTAACTGAAAACTATTCTGTCTGATTTGACTTTCATTCCTGTATGAATGTGTAGGTAAACAATGTTTAAAATGCATTGTGTGTCCTTGAGTCACCTGTGTTGCTCGCATACTGATTTGTAGTTTGCAATGACAAATAGAAATTTGATGCAAAAATGCTGCCGGACAGGCTATCAGAACATAATGTGTTTAATGTACTAACACAGTCTCATCCCAAGAAGTCATATAACTGACGTCTTAGGACGTCTTTTGACCATACGTCAATATCCGCCTTTTTAGGGCCCCCTTAAACGTCGGTAGATGACGATCCCGGGCCGTCATACAACTGACGCTTTACCTTTAACGTCAGTTAGGTGACGGGGTAGGTTTAGGTCTGGGGTATAGAGTTAGGATCCGATAACCTCATCTACCGACGTTTAAGGGGGCACTAAAAAGGCGGATATTGACGTATGGTCAAAAGACGTCCCAAAACGTCAGTTATATGACGCCTATATGTGGCCTCTCTGTTTGACCCTCCACATTCATTTTGTTGTGATTTTATCCGCTTTTAGTTTCGATTTTGCCCTGGCAAGTGCTGATTTGGAAAACTCTATGTCTTTGACAGTCTCCTGAGGCCAGATGAATGTGATCACAGTCAGGTTATTTCTTTTAGACGCAGCACTGTGTGAACCTTTACATTTCAAGCCAGATGTTACTCATTTACAGAGTTGGTTCTGTTATAATTTCTTCATTGATGCCCCACAGTGTTAATCTCCATTCATTCCAGACTAAGAATCATGCTTTTAGCTATTGAAACAATAGTTTGGCTACATTTGTAATTTAATATAATCAGATAATATAATTGAAATTTAAGCATTTATGTAGCACAGCATTAATTGAATAGGCAATCTCGATTAGGATGAACACTTTTAAAAGATAAATGTACACTAAATAAGACATTGTGAGTTTTAACCACAAAGATGAACAGCAGCTTTCAACTACATATTACAAGATTAGGGATTTGGATCTGTTATTATTTAAAATCGTTTTTTTAATGTCCAAAAGAACAACTTTCCACATTGCTACTCTTAAAAAAAAATTATGTTGTAGCCTAACCAAAAAATTATGTTGTAGCCTAACCAAAAACATTCAATATTTTGGAGAGAGTAACACTGTGTAAAATGTTTATACAATTTAAAGTAAAAAAACAAACAAAACAAAACAAAAAAAAACATTGTGTTACAATATCAGTTATTTAGTTAATGTTTATTGCATAACTTTAGTGTAGTGTCATCCCGGATCTAACACACGGGCAAGCTGTGCACATGCCCAGGGGCCCTTCCGCAGAGAGGTTGCGCTACATAAAAATAGTATTCGCAAGGCTTGGTCTTGCTCTTGAAAATTATCCAATCATTTTTTAAAAAGTTCGTTAAGATTCTGTTCAAAGAATCAAAAAAGTTGGCAGGACCGTCTAAATCGGTTTGCAAATCAGTTTGAATGATTTGTTCAGTTTCCTGCATGTACTGAATCGTCTGAAGTGTTTTCACACTCCTATCAGTCGTAACAGGACGATTTAAGAACATCAGCGGGCAGCCTATAGGCTCTGAGATCTGCACACAAAAATAAATGGGTTCACAAAGCACTCAAAACCAAGATAAATAGTGTTCCGACCAATCACTGAGAGGGTTTTGTGAGGTTTTGCGCTACGAATTCGGCTCTGGTTGCATGTTACACTGATGCCATTTTGTCTTTGTGTTTATGACCCTCTGCACGTCTATAGTATTGATATTTTCTTACAATTTTTTTTTATTTATTTGTTTTTTTTTTATGAACAGGCTGCTTACAATGAACTCTGATTCATCATGTGGCTTTCTATTGTAGCACTGGTGGCTGTCTGTATATATTAAGTTAAAGTAAAGTAGGTAGGCCTATGTTAAAATCATATTACATAATAAAAATATACATTTATAAAGCATCCTATAAAGCTGGAAACATTGTCACAGTATTTTTAAGGAGAATCTGGCAACCACAGCAGTCTATTTTTTTACTGTAAATTCAAATTTCTTGAAAATGTAATTATATAATATTTTGATTTCATATTTATTGTTTTTGTATTTTTATAAAATATGTAAAAAATGTTGAATAAAAATAATAAAAATAAAAATATAATAAATATAATTATACAATATATATATATATATATATATATATATATATATAATTATTAATATATAATTAGATAAATATAATAAACATTATTGCCAGGGGTGCACATAGCCGGTGCGAATGCTACTTACTGGAGTAGGATTTTTCTCCGTCTCTGGTAAGATTGAAATCATAATGATAAGTGTGTTCATTAATTATTAGGGTGCAACTAATTGCAGTTGATCCGTGGTCCTTACAGACCACGCCCCCTGGTTCAGCATGCATGTGATTAACAAATTAACTGCTAAGTTTAAAGGGATACTCCACTTTTTTGGAAATAGGCTCATTTTACCACTCCCCTAGAGTTAAACAGTTGAGTTTTACCATTTTCAAATCCATTCAGCCAATTTTCTGATATTTTGAAGAATGTCAGTAACCAGACAGTTTTTGGTCTCATTGACTTCCATAGTAGGAAAAAAAAAAATATGGAAGTCAATGAGACCAGAAACTGGACTGTATTTTTATTCATAAATATGTCCTCAATGGTGTACAAACACCTCTGCCAATTTTCCACAGAGTCTTTCATGTAGTTCCACCATCTTGAAAAACTATAATAGCAGAGAGGGACATAAAATACTAGGCCAACGCATTTCCACAACGCGTTTTCGTTCAGAGCCAGCGTGACGTAACTGAAAGCAGCAGAAACGGAGGAGCAGAGCAGTGAGAGGCGCTTCACTGCCCCGGCAAGTTTAAAACGCTGCATTTCAAATCCTTGTTGCCAGAAAAGTCCAAAATAGATCATAAAAGGAACCAGAGACAAAAAACACGAGTTAATGTCGGGATAGCTTTTTCCAGGTGGATAGAGCTAATGCAGGAGAAAGATTTCAAAAGAGATGCTAAATTCCTGCTTTCTTCTCGACAGGTAAGGCAATGTTGTAGTCTTGTAGACCTTATGCACCAGAGAAACGTGGGCGCCGTCATTTTTAGAATATTGTCTTTGAACTTCCGTTTTCGCGGTCGCTCTGTATATCTCTATATCATCGCTGTCGAGGAGTAATTAGCTGGTGAAGTGGATTTACTTATTGTAGAGTTAACAAAAGTTACCATGAGCGTTAATGTTTATCATAAGCATTGTAGAGCAGATGTCTTAACAAATGTCGATCGGGAATTTTTTTCATTTTTTCAGTTCATTCATACCTATGCAAGATCGCTGTGAAAATACAGACCGGAAGTCAAAAGACAACGAGTGCAATGCTGAAAAGGGGCGGGGCTACATAAGGTCTATAGTATTTTTTTTTCCCCTTGTTTGGTTGTGTACTTTATTATATATACAGATGAACATTATAGTTATTTATTCCTACACAATGTCCCTTTATAAGTGAACAGTTGAGAAACAAACAGGATGTGTGTCAGTATGTTTAGTTCGTGCATGCAGTCTTAAAGTGACAGCAGCCTAATATC